ACAGGCAGATCTACAAACACTTGGAGTCACCAACTGGAAAAAGAAGGCTAACTAGAGAGATGAATGTAGGCGAGGGATATCTGCAACAATGAACTTCAAGGGCTTGGAATAGTGAAGAAGAAGAAGAAGAAGAAGATGACAAGTAAAGACCAACAGAAATAAAAGAAGGCCGAAAAACAGTAGATAAGAAAAATAAAACTAGAGACATGCCAGAGATCAGAATATCTCACATACAACAAAATGTCTGACATTTCCCGACAAAACATAAATAAACTGGGCTGAAATGGGGTAAAGCTATCAGATATGTGTAAATGAAAATCGGAGGAATATATAAGTTCTTGTAAAGCTGATCTGCTCCCTCTCTAAGCTTGTTTAATGTTTAAAAATATACAGGTTACAAAAGCAAGCTCTTGCAGTAACCACGCACACAATCTCTTTCACAGTCACAACCAGTCATTTTAAATTAGCTTTCTCCTATGTTGTCTACTGTGTTAAGTGTTGGTTGTACTTTTGTTGTTGTTGTCAGTTTTGTTTAAATATCTACTACAGTGTTTCAAGAAAAATAATTATGAGTTTATATTACTTTTTGATTTAATAAAAAATCCCTTAGGCCTTAGTTTCAGATGCTTTTTTTATTTTTATATAATCTTTATTAAACTCTTACCAGACATATCAAACTGGTCACATTTATGAACATCACCGATATAGTGGTTGTCGACATAGACATATATTGTTTCGACTGCTAGGAATAGGAATTTGTATGAACCCGTTTTGAAAAATTAGAATTAGTGAAAAGAAGTAGTTGTCAGAACATTGTCGTGGGATAAATAAAAGTCTGAATCATCACTGGAATTGCCTTCACATATTAAATATGTTTGTTGTTGTTCTGAAATTTGATAAGTCACACAAACATTGTCGTAAAATCCAAAGTATTTAGAATTAGCTGTCTCAAAAATAGACTAGCTGATGCCTAACTAGAATAGAGAAGGCATGTGAATTCTTAGAAATAGATAGCAGTAAAGTTGATCAAGTTAAAAAGTTAAGGTAATGAGCCAGATCTGTAAAATGGATGCACACGCAACACTCAGGTTCTGGAAAAGGACTGGAGTCCAGAAGTGGACAAGCCGGAGTTTACAGCTGGTGAACGTGAAGAATGAAGAAGAAGAAAAGTAAGGTGAGTGCGATACTTCATGTGTCAACAATCTTCATGTATATCAAACACCCTGAACATGACGTCAGTTCAATATTTTGTTCAAACTTCACTCAAAACAAGGCAGTATGGTAAACACAGAGATTGGGACTGCAGGATAGATTTCACCAAGACTGCCGGCCTCCAAATATATGTTTTCTGACAGTCGATTGAAGAATTTATTTATTTATATAATTCATTACTTAATCATTCTAAGCCTGTTTCACATTTTAACAGATCAATGAAATCGGCCCATCTGGCTACATTAGCCAGTGCTAAAAATTGGAGGTAGGGCTTTCATTACAGCATCCTGATAAATCATTCTACTGCTTACTTTAGTGTTAGACCTGAGTTCTCGGAGAAAAGCAGAATACTACAAGTATCTCCTATTGTATTTCATGAGTCAATTAATTCATCCTGATGTTTTCACGATTGTTTCTCAGTGTGTTCCAAGATCACATGAAAAGTCCTCGAATCTTTATAAAAGGCTAAAGTTAGTTGCGTATCCTTTACAGGACGTTGCAGAACCAACCCCAACAGCCCCTGGCTATTGTGTGGTTTCTCTAGGCAAGTTACATCCAGTAGTTTGCCATTGCTTTCTGGACAGCCGGCTTTCTTGATACCACTCAAAATCAACGTAAGGCGGATTGCCCGCAGCTGGGATCGAACCTGGCGTCCCGGCATTACGAAGCGAAGTTATAAAAGGCTACAATGTCTAAATAAGAACAGCACTAAACGAAATGGATGCAACTGAGATAAGGCTGTGGACATGCAAACAACAGGAGAACCTGACTTGTAAGTCAGCTGGAGTCAAGTACAAGGACCCTTTCCCCGCTTTAGGCCTGCTGGGCATTTACAGCCACAACTATACTTTATGGACTTACTGGCGATTGGTGGGTGAGGTGGTCAACTTTAGGCCAGCTGCTTTTACTTCCCAGGATTTTACCTGGTACCCATTTAGTAGGGCTGGGTTGAAATGGGAGCAAAAGTCATTTTAAAAAAAGTCCAGCACTGTTAGGATTTGAACCCATGACTTTTGGATCCACAGGTGAGCATCTAACCGCTATACCATGGTGGAAATGCACACATGAAAAAAAAAGAAACAGAAAGTTGCTGCGACAGGCTTTCATCAGCAAACATAAAACAAACCACAACAGTCCAAGATGATGAAAATAAAATAATTATACAAGTCATAATACTATGTTACAATGTGACATTTTAACAAAGCAAGCCAGTAAAAGTTATACCACACATTACATTTCATTAGGATAGTTAATTTTTATTTTCCATGGTTACATCATTATCATAATTTCAGTGGTTTTCTTCTTCTTCTTGTTCACTGGCTGTAAACTCCAGTGGAGAGTTCTGGTTGTTCATCCACTTCTGCACTCTAGCCCTGTTCCAGAAACTGAGTGTTGCGTGCACATTCGTTTTACAGGTCTAACTCATCTGCGTGCAGACTGTTGGTTCTTTGCCTCTCGGGCAGATGTACTCATAATTTGAAGGAAGCTCCCATTTGGTCTCTCTCCACTATGAGGCCCCAGAACTCGCACAGGGATTCATTTGCTTCTCTTGGTTCTTGCTGGTGAAGTCCTCTCGTCACAACACCCCACCCCTTTTTTTTCTTTGTGTTTTTTGTTGTTAATTAATGGTGATTCTTAACAATAAACGAAGGTCCTTACGCACACTGTCTGAAAACCAGTGTTTAAGTGAGATGGCTTTAAAAAAAACAATGCTTTATATGTCTGTGGGGATGGGAGCAAACATTCTACTTTGCCATCTACCAGCATTAGAATTACGAGTCCACATCTGACTATTGCTGTGTTGCCTCACATACTGAGCACAGATAAGTGAACTATGTGATACAAATGTCAGTGCTCGAGCAGGCTGAAAGAACACTAAACACCCCTGATATGATAGGCACACTGTCATAGACAGCCCAAATAAATAAACTGTACAATGAAATATTAAACCAAGTGAAATGAAATGGTGATTTCACTTCGGTATATACAGTATGTTGCTGACCTAAGCAGTCACACTGAAACAAGTGAAGAATCTGTCCTCTGTGGCCAAGCTTTCACAAACACAGATCATGACTTCCTAGACCAGGATTATACTAATCAATTGGTAGGTTTAAAATATGTACACATACTTTAGTTGCATTACAAAAGTACATACATCTAATTCCAGTCTAAATAGACATTATGTAGAAGTATTTTCTAGTGAACATATAAAGAGGGCTGATATCATATTCAAGTAAGCACTGCTTGCCATGTAAGACCTCCCAGATTTTCCATTTTGCACATCATGTTGTCCAAAGAATTTCAAACTTATCATAACAGATGTAACTGCAGGCAGGCTAAAGACTGTATTGCAAATAGCTACCTCCAATGTCACTGAATTGTAACATCATTCTCAAATTTGAAATGTTACTTCACAATGCTCTTGCATTCCTCAAGCAACAATTGTCCCTTATGCGATTTGTTTTCTTGTTCTTCTGGTTACAGTATTCTTCTTCTTAACAATCACAGGCTGTAAACTCAGCTGAAAGTTCTGGTTGTTCAGCCACTTCTGGACTTTGAGCTTTGCGTTCACATCTTTTTTTACAGGTCAGGCTTACTTGTATACATATTGTGAGCACCTCACCTTTCAGGCAGATGCACTCCAATTGTATACAAAACAGCTCTAATTAGTCGCCTTTTATCTTTTACAATCTGTTTGTTAAGAAGCTTTGGGTCTATCCCCCCCCCCCCCCCCCCCCCCCCAATGGTGCTATGGAGTACACAGGGAAGTATTATTCCCGCCAAAAACATCATCTTTAAAAAGCCCATTATACTACTATTGTAATTTGATCAATCTTCGAAACAAGTCCAAACAGAAGGTGTGATGAAAGGTGTATACATATTTTTCTGCGTCTGTGTATATCACAGTCACTGAACTTGTGTAAATGTTTTACCTTAGGATCACATGCTACTTTAAAAAAAATTACTACATGATATGTGTAAAAAAAAAGTTGGCTGAACAAGATCACAATTCACAACAATGAATGGTAAAATAACCTGTCTATTGCCACAAGAGACAAAGATTTCCTTAAAACAACCCATGGTGGTTTAAGCAACAAGCAGACACAACACATAATTATTTTTAACATAGTATTTCAGCCATTTAAATGTTCAATTGTAGATGGTCCCAGGACAGGCCCAACAAACCAATAAGGTATTTAATTGTACAAATATATATCTGGTCATAAAGATAAGAGTAGAAATAACTAGGGCTTTTGTTTAAGGGAAGAAAGGTGGCAGTACCCACCACACAGTGTCTACAAATGGTGACAGTACTCACCCCTCAGTGTCTACAAATGGTGACAGTACCCACCACACAGTGTCTACAAATGGTGCCAGTACTCACCACACAGTGTCTACAAATAGTGCCAGTACTCGTCACACAATGTCTACAAATTACGTTTTTTGTTTCCCTGTATTCAGTTTGCAGAAATTACTTCATCATATTTATATTTTTGGTGGTTTTATAAAGCATATAATCCACCTGACATGCCTACAAAGAACTCAATCTGTTCTTCCTTTGTACACACAACGCAAACCAATCTGAAAATCCTAATACAACAAAACTCAGATTGGTAACTCTTTGTACATACAAGACAACTCAAAGACTGATAACCTTCTGTACATGCTGTGGTTTTTATATACAGGAAACCATAGTAGGTTTTCTCTCTGAAAACAAAACACACACTCAAACCATGTATCTAATTCAGGAAAATGAGAATACAATACAATACATCAAGGTACAGCAGTTAGGGATAGTGTCGAATCATGTGGTTTTCAACACTTGTTGACGGAGCAATATGAACCCAGGGCAAGTCTCTTATGGGTTCACTGTACGTAGCACTATTTCCGCTGGTCTGTCTGTGTGTTGACCTCTTCGACCTGGTGCTAGCCTTACTCCTCACACTCTGTCTCCCGGCAGCGTATATGTGGCCAGCGCCGGAGGATGGATGAATGTTCTGCATCGTAGTGTCATAACTTGGCGGCATTTCTCTTTCTCCTCGGTTGCGGGGTCCTGGTGAAGTTGATGGGTATTCAGAAGTGAGGTTCATGTTGTCAAAAGCCATGTCTTCGGAGTCATCGTGATATGGTGATAAGTGTGTTGGTGTTCGGAATCTCATTTTAACAAACTCCAGTTCATCATTAGCAGAGCTGACGACTGTGGATATAGAAACAAAATGTTATATGAAATTAAAGGCTATGAAAACAGAAAAAAAGACAACACACAAAATATACATAGTTAACGGGTTTTATAAATTATCTGAGAGTATTTTTCTAGCCTCTAGTTAGGTTTATTGCATGAGATGCACTTCACCAATTGCAAGGTTTATTGCATGAGATACACTTCACCAATTTCAAGGTTTTTTGGCATGAGATACACTTCACCAATTTCAAGGTTTTTTGGCATGAGGTACACTTCACCAATTTCAAGGTTTTTTGGCATGAGATACACTTCACCAATTGCAAGGTTTATGGCATGAGATACACTTCACCAATTGCAAGGTTTATGGCATGAGATACACTACATCAATTGCAAGGTTTATTGCATGAGATACACTTCACCAATTGCAAGGTTTTTTGCATGAGATACACTTCACCAATTGCAAGGTTTATTGCATGAGATACATTTCACCAATTGCAAGGTTTATTGCATGAGATACATTTCACCAATTGCAAGGTTTATTGCATGAGATACATTTCACCAATTACAAGGTTTATTGTATAAGATACATTTCACCAATTGCAAGGTTTATTGCATGATATACATTTCACCAATTACAAGGTTTATTGCATGAGATACACTTCAATTATTGCAATTTTTATTGCATGAGAGTATACTTAACCAAATGCAATTTTGTTGCATGAGATATTCTTCACTTTATGAAAAGTAGAATGGCAGCCTCTCTTACTAAAAGACACATTCACCGGTTGCACGAGTGTGGAGTGGTCTAAAGGTTGGACATGAATAAGCTGACAAAGCAGCCATTTTCCAGCAGAGGCAGTGGGCATAAAAGGGTGTGAGTTACCACACAAAACAGTGCAGAAACGCATTTATTTATGCCATGTTCTTACTACAGAATGCCAAAGTACAAATAACATACAACAGAATACAATCTCATTTATTTAAACCATTTTATTGCTGCAGAATACCACAGATCATCTATCCAAGGCAGCACACACACGATGTTTTTAATATGGAAAGAATAGATGAAGACATTCACCCACATCACTCCCAGTGTGAATTCCAGGGTCTCGTTTGAGAGGGGAAAAAAGGGGACTTTTTAAGGAACTGCTGAAGTCAGATGTGCATACATTGCAACCTAACTGTAGAGCAAAATGTAATGTGAGAGCAGGCATAGAAAAATGAAAAACATACACCATGAACTTGTCAAGAACACAGGGATCAAATAATTCTGGAGGAACAATTCTTCTTTCATGTTCCTCTTCAACAAGTAGTGCATTACACCTAGTTAGACACTTCACTGTGTGTGTGTATGTACACACACACAAATGCACCTAATTTATGCAAGCACACACACACACACTACGAAGCCAGCCTATGAACCATTTCGTGAAGAAGCTGCCTCTATTTCTGTCACAACCAATGCATAAATTAAATAAGTAATAGAGTAATAAGTTAAATCTGCCACATGCAGTGTGAGAAATGTTTTATTACTGGCTCTGGTGCCCTATCTCATTCACAAGCTGTGCGCAGCAACACCCTGTACTGTTTACATTTCAGTACTGTGAATCCACTCATTCAGGCTTTTGCCTGTTAGTTACCCTGGGGTCAAATCTGACTTGTAAGCACTTGGCAAGAAGTAAAGGATTTTCTATGGTTTCAGTTAAGGCAGATGTAATATGTGGGTGACCAGAGATGTTCAATTCAGAACATGGTATGACTCAACAAGAATACACTACAACACTGCATGGATGTCATTTTATGTGTCTCATCAAAGTAAGAACAACTTCACAGAAACAATTTTCTGGAAACTGTACAGTTCTTCAGTCGAGAGATAAGTGAAGATTCACAATTCTTAAGTAACAACTTTTGATTTCCGTAGTAGGCAGTTTATTTTTATTCTGGTGGCATTTGGACAATGGTTTAAAAGTTGCACAGTGAAAGAGACTGGGCTTTACCGTACAATACTCTGAAAGACTTCAGCAGGTACACTGCAGCCCACCATCATTGTGCACTGCAGCCCATCATCATTGTGCACTACAGCCCACCATCACTGTGCACTGCAGCCCACCATAATTGTGCACTACAGCTCATCATCGCTGTGCACTGCAGCCCATCATCATTGTGCACTACAGCCCATCATCACTGTGCACTGCAGCCCACCATAATTGTGCACTACAGCTCATCATCGCTGTGCACTGCAGCCCATCATCATTGTGCACTACAGCCCATCATCACTGTGCACTGCAGCCCACCATCATGGTGGAGACAGCACAGAATTTAATTTAAACTGGCCACTATACCCTATGCACATTTATTAAGATCAGATATTGCATGTTTGTTATATTTATGGTTGTATTTGCTTTCTGTCATAATAGAATTTTCCTTCTACATCCCCCCTCCCCCAAACACAGGCACAGAAAATATAGGATATTTGGGGGTCGGGCGGGTAGGGGTGAGTGTAGATGTCAGAAATTGTTGTTAGTTTACAAGTTCTGACAAACAATTGTAACCTTTAAGTTTTTAATTTCTATTTAATGAAAACACAAAATTACATCATTTATTGTTCCTGTTTTAATTTAACAGAAGATAAATCTAGCTGACATTTTCAACCTAATGACACTTACTTGCATCATCTTCGTCAGTCATCAAAGAATATACAGACACACAAGAGGCCACAAACCCCAGAAGCTGAAGACGATCAACAAGAACCACTTTAATGTCAGAGATAGTGGTTAATGACTGTATACACATAAGATTAAATATATAATAAAGAGGTGGGCAGGAAAATAAGGGGTAAAGAAGAGGAGAAGAAGACAAAAATGACGAAGATGAACAGCAAAAAAAAAAAAAAAGAAGAAAACAGATTAGCAGATTAAAAAAAAAAATTCAAAATCTTTCCCCATCTACTTATGGTGAAAGTATCTTAATGTTTCAAGCTCTAAGCATTGGGTTAACTTGGTCGACATCAATGGGGAAGACGTCTCCTATCCAGGTCTAATCCCAGTCAGTGATTATGTATTATTGCTGAACCATGACACAGTTTTATTCTAATATGCCTCTCTGCAGATGTCAAGTCTAGTACCAGTCTTGTGCATTTTGCAGACTCCTTCAACTGGAGAGGAGATGTAGAACTCAACAAGACAGTTTCCCCACCCAAGTAACACTTGATTTCAAGACAGTCAGAAAGTCACTTTATAAGTCTCACCTCCACTAAAAAAAAACACCTTTTTCTGACTCAACTGACCTTGATATCAACACAACTGATCCATGAGTTAAACTCATGTCTTTTAGAGGCATTCCAACCATCCATCTTGTTTCTTTACTTTTTATCCCCAATGGTCAGTAACAGAGGTCATAGGGTCGTGTCATGAGTCCCCTGCCTGATATCATTTTTCCCCGGTGAATGTATCACATTTAACGCTTCACTCTGTTTACATTTACCTGTTTCTATATTTCAAACATAAATGTAGATAGATTTTTTTTTTTTTATTTGAAGCGATTAGTGACCTTCCTGCCGTGGTGTAGTGGCTAGACTCTCACTTGTGGATGTGAAGGTCATGGGTTCAAATCCAAACAGAGCTTTTTTTTCCAAAAATAACTCTCAGGTCAAGTAAAGGTGGCCGGCCGCCAAGATATTGACCACATCACCCACCAAGTGGCGATTGGTCTATAAAATTTAGATACAGCCCTATATGCCCAATTTATCTGAAGGTATGGAAAGAGGTCTTTTATTGGCGACCCGTGTAATACGTTTTTTTAAGGATTTTTTTTCTGGAAATTCCTATATTCATGACTGCACTTATATTTATTGATTACGCTCATTATTATGTATGCAATTAAATACTGTTTTAGAACATAAATATTATAATTTTTGTGTGTGACCTGTGTTTTTTTAGGTGTTTTTTTGGGGTGGGGGGGGGCCTGAAAGCCCAAGAATAAAGGTATTTAGGCATTTTTCTTCTAGATCCCCAGGGTAAAAGGGTTAAAATAAACCTTATAAAATACTGATTCTTCTCTTCTTCACATTCACCGGCTGTGAGCTCCAGCGGAGAGTTCTAGTTGCTCAACTACTTCTGGAATTTAGACTTGTTCTAGAACCTAAGTGTTGCGTGTACATCCGTTTTACAGATATGACTTTTTCTGTATGCAGACTGTTCCTTGCCTCTCAGACATGTACACCGACTTGACAGGAAGCCTCTGACCACAATGGGGCCCTGGAACCCACACAGGAAGAAATATTGATTAAAAGTCAGCTGTGGTAACTGCATTACAGGAAAGGAGAAAAAACTGTGATACAGTACTCATACTTACAGACAGCAAACACTGTACGGCCGCATGTATAACCTCAACATAATAATACTGCATGATACAACCAGCAACATAGGCTTCAGGAGGACTGTTCCTCCCTGCGTCGTCTACCTCCTCATTTTCCCAGCTGGAATTAGTCACCTCACATCCTATCCCATGTTCCAGCCACCAGCTTTTTCCTTCGGTGCCAATTGTGAGAATATATCTTTCTCGATTCTGTGAAAACATGCACATATTTTTGTATAAAGTTCTTTCCAAATTTTGTGGAAAAGTTTTTAAAAATAAAAAAAAATTTTTTTTACTACTTACTTTCTCATTCAATGGCTCCCTATGAATCCATTCAAGAAAAGCATCTACAAATATTACAGAAAACTAGATTTGTAGCAGAAGTGTCGGTTTGCGGTAGAAATGTGTGGGTGTGTAGCAGAAATATGTGGGTTAGTGGCAGAAATATACATCAGTAGCAAAAGGACATTTCTGAGTGTGGCAGAAGTGTGGGTCTCTGGCAGGGAAATGTGTTTATGACAAAGGGCGGGGAAAAAGGATTTGACACAAACATGAGGATATGTGATGGATAAGGATCTTATTATACAATTGAGAACAATATTGTTGCGAGGAATCAAGGAGAGAAATGTGTTTGCTCCTCTCACATTTAAATATCTTTCTGATTTCATTTGTGTTTTCTGCGGTTGGCTGGCCACATGCTTAAAATGCTCTCAAGTGAGAGGCCCACATGTGAATCCTCGCTAATGCTCGGGATTTTTTTAATGTCGGAAAGATGGAAGGAGGGGGTGTTAAATACTAACCTGCACAGTCCATGACCACACTAGCCATAAATCCTCAGGTTCAAAGAAACCCCCCCCCCCCCCCCCCCCCCCCCCCCCCCCCCCCCCCCCCCCCCCCCTAACTGCAAAAGCAGGAACTGCAGGCGGTTTTCCCCCTCAAGTAGCAGTTCTTTTCTGGCCCAGGATAGAAAACTGTGACTCACCACTACGCTGTGAGGCAATTGTGGACAAGACAAGACAAGACTGAATAATGACGTAACAGGGGTAAAAGAAGATTATGTAAACCACCAGCAAGCGAATTTGCTGTTCTTTTCTACTGCTTTTTAACCCTCACAACACCAGACCAACCCCAGACTTAGATCTTTTATCTATTGCTATCTTCTGCATCTTTCTTCATGCCTCCTCCATATCCTCCGCTATCATGTTTTTTCGAGGTCTCTAAATTTTATACCAGACAGCAGCGGTGGTGTAACCTCTAGATGCTCACCTATAGACCAAAGATCTTAGTTTCGAATCCACACTAACACTGAATTGTTCTCTCTCCAAAAATGGTCGCTGCTCCCAGGTCGGGTGATGTAGTCAACATCACACTGAACACCTTTACTTTCCAGGACTTAATCTAGAAGCTATTTAAGGCTGACCGTTTTGTTGTTGTTGAAGTCTAGCTCTGTGGGGACCTTAACCAGTGACCATCAGATACACAGATGAGCATCAAGCCAACACACAATAGCGGCTCATTCCAATATTAAAAACATAGAAATATTAAGAGACATTACAGCAACATTGTCTTCAATTAAATCATTCTGTGATTTCGTTACAAAGGTTAAAATATTTTTAGGACCCCTGTTATGTCAATGGCACATGAGGTGCTTTTCATATTTTTATAGACCAACTGGTGCTTGATAAGCAATGAGATCAACATTACTTCCCTGGACATTATCCAGTATCCATCTTAGATGAGAGTGGTCCTAGGGGCCCTACGGCAATAAAAAAAATCAACCGAAAACATGAGGTCCATACCTAAGGTAAAACATGAGGCCCATATCTGAGGTAAAACAAACAGCACAAAAGAAGAGCCACTATCAGCAAAACACCAGTTATATCACCTTTCTCCAAGAAATCCCCCGTACCCACCTCACGAAAAGAATTCTATACCTATTGAGGAGTGAATCAAATAAATGCACCTAGCAAGTAATGACTTACCCTGTTTAGTATTCCAACCTCTAAATACAGGCAAATGACAAAGATATTCCAACCAAGCCATAATAAATTCCATGTTGCATACTGGAAAGACGAAACATTTTTACATTATACAGATTCAATCAATCAATCATCATCACGTGCCTTGTCAGTAAGCTTTGTCTGTGATGTTTCACCATCTCAGACGATCACCAGAATTACGGATCAGTTCAATGTTTTTGTCTTGCTCCATCTATATGACCAGGCCCTTCAGGTATTTATCTCTCTGCCTTCCTCTTGACCTCTTTCCATCAATCTTGCCGATTGTTACCAAGTTCTGAAGTCCATTTCTTCTCATAACATGTCCAAAAAATAGTGAGGGTCTTCGTCTAATTGTTCTAATAAGTTTACAACTTCCATCTGTCTCGATGAGGACTGCTCCATACGTTCTTCTATCCTTCCAGGATATTCTTTGCCTTCTTCTCAGGAACCACGTCGCAGCATGTGTAAATGTTTTTCCCGCCTGTCTGATGAGCGTACATGTTCACATGCATATAACAACATAGGTTCTACATAGCACTTAAATACTTTTTCCTAACTATATAACACAGGTTCTATATAGCACTTAAATACTTTTTCCTTACTATATAACACAGGTTCTACATAGCACTTAAATACTTTTTCCTTACTATATAACACAGGTTCTAAATAGCACTTAAATACTTTTTCCTTACTATATATATAACACAGGTTCTACATAGCACTTTAATACTTTTTCCTCACTATACAACACAGGTTCTACTTAGCACTTTAATACTTTTTCCTCACTATACAACACAGGTTCTACATAGCACTTTAATATTTTTTCCTTACTATACAACACAGGTTCTACATAGCACTTTAATACTTTTTCCTCACTATACAACACAGGTTCTACATAGCACTTTAAAACTTTTTTTCACTATAAAACACAGGTTCTACACAGAACTTTAACTCTTTCTCTAACTATACAACACAGGTTCTACATAGCACTTTAATACTTTTTCTTCACTATACAACACAGGTTCTACATAGCACTTTAACACTTTTTGTTTCACTATACAACACAGGTTCTACACAGCACTTTAACACTTTTTGTTTCACTATACAACACAAGTTCTACATAGCACTTTAACACTTTTTGTTTCACTATACAACACAGACAGGTTCTACATACCACTTTAACACTTTTTTATTTTTCACTATACAACACAGGTTCTACACAGCACTTTAACACCCTTTTTCTCACTATACAACACAGGTTCTACATAACACTTTAACACCGTTTTTCTCACTATACAAAACAGGTTCTACATAACACTTAAACACCGTTTTTCTCACTATACAACACAGGTTCTACATAACACTTTAACACCGTTTTTCTCACTATTCAACACAGGTTCTACATAACACTTAAACACTCTCACTATACAACACAGGTTCTACATAACACTTTAACACCCTCACTGTACACAGGCTCTACATAACACTTTAACATTCTTTTTCTCACTATATAACACAGGCTCTACATAACACTTTAACACCCTCACTGTACACAGGCTCTACATAACACTTTAACACACTTTTTCTCACTATATAACACAGGCTCTACATAACACTTTAACGCTCTTTTTCTCACTATATAACACAGGTTTTATATAACACTTTAACACCCTTTTTCTCACTATACAACACGGGTTCTGCATAACACTCTTTTTCTCACTATACAACACAGGTTCTACATAACACCCTTTTTCTCACTATATAACACAGGTTTTTATAAGACATTTTGCATCAAATGTTATGACTGTTCCTTAACAGTTGCATCTACTTGCTTAAGACGGTGGCGGCCGCTTAGTCGGAGTTCAGTCCCCTGGCTGCAGTGCAATTACCGAGTGGACAAGGCACGAATCACAAAACAAAGTGAGGTCATTATTTAAAACTCCTGTGTCAAAATTATCTGATAAAGCGGCCTTCATTATGGGTAAGTACTCGATGTTACATGTTTTACCCTAACCCACACCCTACCCCTAATTATGTCATTTGTTTCGTTCCATCTTGTCCACTCCATAATTGCACTGCAGCTAGGGGACTGAACTCGGACGAAGCAGCCGTTGCCGTCCAACGAGCGACCGTTATTGCAAGGAGAGCCTACTGATGTTATATCCTCCCAAGTTAATCCCTTTTCGTCTTTTAAAGAATGGTCTGAATAGAGTGTCATGTTCTTTAGGACCTTTATGAATTTAAAATGATAAGCTCATTCTTGAATTCATACAATACAGTAATACCAGAAGCACAAACTCACAACAATAATGAATGGCCTGTGGAAGTTGCAGGCACCAAATATTCCTAGAATGACCACAATGATCTGGAAGAAGTTCCCTATAATGGGTGCCCACATGTATCCCAGGAAGTCAAAGACCTGGCGCTCCAAAGTGCTCACCTGTAAGTAGAAGATGGTATACATAAATCTCAATTGAAAATAACATTTTACAGCAGGGCTCCATATAATCTTAACTTTTTTTTCAAGTGTTCGTTCGGGTAGGAACATCTTACTGGCCCCTAACAAGTATGCTGTAAAAGGTGACCAATCAGGGGTTTTCCCTTTGAAGTCAGGAGGGTGCATCAACCCAAGTGGCAAGGAACCAACAGTCTGCAGATAAGTAAGCCCCATCTCTAAAACAGATGTGCAGCAAAACTCAATTTCTGGAAGAAGACTAAATCCAAGAGTGGAAGAATATGAAATCAGAACTTTCTGTCAAAATTTAGTTTTTCTTAGCGCTTACTGGTTGGTGGAAATTTCTAGCACATCCATTTTACAGATATTGGTAATTTGTATGCAGACTGCTGGTTCTCTGCCTTTCAGGCCGATACACTCAGACTTCAGATTTTAATTTGCCAACTTAAATGCCTTATATATGTTCAATATATAAAGTAAAGTTAAGGGTCCTTTTCCACTCCTTCAGGCGTACTGGGTATATTGGGCTAGATCTATATTTTATAGATAAGCAGCACTTGGTGGGTCATATGGTCAGCCTCACACCAGTTGCCTTTACTTCCCAGGACGGAACCTAGTACTCTCTCAAGCTAGGTTGACCTGGGAGCTGAGGTCATGTTTTTCTAAAGTCCCACCCCCGTCAGGCCCCACTCCCACGACTTTCCGATCCACAGGTGAGCATTTAGCCGCCAGACCATAGTGGCTCCCATGTTTAACACAGGGTAAACAAAATATTTTGTTTGCTTTAGACGATAAGTTCATGCATGCATCATGCTTGCAGCCAAATTAGAAATTACATTTATGAAGGTTTCAGTTTCAATACTATATTTTCTATCAATGGTCATTTCAACAGTTTATCATTAATTTGTGGGTGTGTCTGATAAAAATAAATATGGGTAAAACTAGTGTGGTCTATTCTTTTGTTTCATTGAAATATACTAGCTCTAGTCTGCAATGTTGACTGGTGATATACATTTCACTGCTATATTTTTTTTTAGTTTACTTGATCTTCCAATGGAGTTTTAGTTTAAATTTCAGTCACAGTGTTGTTTTTCTCTAGGTAAAATAAACGAAATAATTAGTTGTTATTTTAACAGTCTCATCGGTCTGGAAGTTTGTCATACATCAAATGTGTTCACATCATTTGTGAACAATTATTTTCCATATCAGCTCTCCTTTAAATAACGGTTGCTAGCTGGAAGGCGACGGTCGCTTAGTAGGAGTTCACTCCCTTGGCTGCAGTGCAAATACGGAGCGGTAAAGAGGGAACGAAACAAATGATATAGTTACCTGTCATCCTAGGGTTAGGCTTAGGGTTTGGGTTATAATTTTGGGTAGGGTTAGGGTTTGGGTTAGGGTGACACCTCACAGAAACGACGGAAGCTTATCGCTCATTACGACATACAGATCCACAGGTCTCACATCTATGGTCACTAAGTAGTGCGTCGGAAGAACGCAGTCGCTAGTGTGAGTCGCAGCGCTTGGTCTAGCTCTAGCAGGCATGTCGACCTCACTTTGTTTTTTGATTCGTGACTTGTCCGCTCCGTATTTGCCAAGGGAGTGAGCTCCGACTAAGCGGTCGTCGCCTTCCAGCTAGCGACCGTTATTTAAAGAAGAGCCTCCATATCTTTCCTTCATATTCGAAGAAGCAATCTTTTGCCCCTTGGTGTGATGTTTTTTTTTTTATCGATCACCGGCTGTGAATTCCAGTGGAAGGTCCCGGTTAATCGTCCGCTTGGACTTTTGGCTTTCACCTGGACCTGATTTTTGCGTGTACAACCGTTTTTCATTTCCCTGCCTCATGGGCAGCTGTACTCCGACTTCGAAGGAAGACGTCAGGCCTATTTCTAGGTTGACTGTGGCCATTGTTTTGTGTGGGTCGAGACGTTGCCTGATTTGTGTGGTGTCCACTTTGTCTCCTCCGCAGGTATTGCCCTCGGAGTACCCCTTTGGGGCAGCCCCCTGTGGAACAGTTAGCCCTCAAGGGAAGGCAGGGGCAGATCATGGGCATTCCCCGCCATCCAAGGAGGCTTCCATGCATGCAGAGCCGGCAATTGGCGCTCTGGTTCTGGGCTCACCAAAGGAATCGTCACGTCCTGCACATGCCTGCTTAACCTCACAACCGTATCAGGCCTCCCGCTCAACAGGGGCTGCGCCCTCTGGAAGTCAGCGGGGAGCAGCCCGTGGGTTTTGGACTTTTGTGACCACACAGATAGGTACATTCTTTTTTCTTCGCACGTTAGATTTCTTTGACGAGCCGTTAGCCCGACAGAATTTTACATCCTGCATCAGGCATATCGTTATCAGTTTTGTCCCAACACTCGGGCGAGTGGGGTCTTTGGGTGTGGACATTCGGTCTTTTTCAGTTCAATACAAATTTTGATGGTCAGATTTTGATCCGTATGATCTAGTTTTGTCGGACAATTAGGATGGTTGCTGTTGTGGTGTACCTCAGCGCGGTGTCGACGACACTGAGGGTTAACCGAGGATGTACATGAATGGCCAGCCTATGGATGGTTGCTGTTGTGGTGTACCTCAGCGCGGTGACGACGACACTGGGGGTTAACCGAGGATGTATAAGGATGGCCAGCCTATGGATGGTTGCTGTTGTGGTGTACCTCAGCGCGGTGACGACGACACTGAGGGTTAACAGAGGATGTGCAGTGAACAATGTTCTCTTTACTCCGCAGTCTTTTAACCAAGGGTTGTAATTTTGGCTGTACGTTTGGCAAACCTACTCATGTTCCTAATGAGCTTTGATAACATTTTTCACCCAAGCGTTTGGGGGCGGGCTGATGAGAGCCATAAGGACACATCACCTCTGGGGGCCGCCAAACTCCGTGATCCCCTGACAGCTCTGTTAATGCTCATTTGAGACATTATCCGTGGCGCACGACGAGGACGTGCTGTAGGGGTCTTGCGTGAGGTTCCGTACAACCTTGATAGTTAAGGACTGGCGCCTGAGTGACGTACGGAGTATCTCCTTATACACATCATGTTGGACTTAACTTCCCCTTACGCCTGTGACATAAATCACCGCGCCACTGGTGTGATGTGATAGTGATTTATTTTATAAGATTTAAACAAACTTTATCTTTTTTTAAAAGAAGTTTTAAGCAATTATTTACGTAAAAATTCAGAAACAAATTTGATTACAGAGATGAACTCAGAACTAAGTGGACATGAGGAGTTACCAGTGACTATGTCTAGTCATCGCCGACTCGGCTTAGCCTTACCGGCCTTACCTTAGGTTTTTTTTTTTTTTTTGGTCACCGTCATGAATGAAAATAATGTCAACTCCTAATATTACTACTAATAACTCAAATACTTCAATAAAGTTAAAAAATATTAGCTGGTTACATTATAAATTCACTTACAATTTAAATGGTAGTGCATAAAAAATAATATATAAAAATAATTCATTTATCTATGTCTTTCTGTCCAATTCAGGACATCCTATTTACTTGAAATGAATCAACGATCGAAAACATGTCCTCTTACCAACTGTAGCGTAAACAACACGATCAAAGTTGTTCGAAGAACCTTGTTAATCCATTTATCATCAGTATCCATTCTCCACAAGTCGGTTAGGGTAGAATCATACATTACCCTGTATCTGCAATGTTTTGCAGATAGTGAAGTCAGTATAATTTTCATGACATTTTTTGAGAACGTCCACCCCCGTGTTAAATTCTAGGATCTCTAGCAACAAGCAACAGACGACAGCGACCGCTTTACTCACATATACAAGCTGACCTGTTGCTGGGATAACAAATAATCCTAATTTCATATTCTTTGTTTTACCAGAGAATTAATTCAACGTTTATAAACTAACAATGCATGACCTTGCTGTTATTTTGTGATTTTAAATCAAAGGTTGTTTAATATATAGAGCAGATTTTAGATGTTAGTTAAGTGTAGTGATATGGGTGTGAAAGAGCAGTGCAATGACGGAGAATGAGACACCGGAGGAAATTCCTGAAGCTCAGTCATCTCAAGATGTCGCCGGCGCCAAGTGTTTTAAACTAAAGTATTTGCTTTGTATAAAAAGCTAGGTTTAATCCTTATATTTGCGACATGATGCGGATGTATAAAAGAACTGAAAGATTGTCTTTGTTTTAGAACCTCTAAATTTAAAAAAGCCAGATTGCGTCTATTATGGCGGGGAATACTTCCTCTTCTTCTTCTGGTAATCTTAGTTTCAGCTTCATAGCAAACGGGTTACCCCATACTTGCTCTGCTCCTGTGCCAACGAAGAACACACAGAATGTTTATCATAGTCCCTTGTGGAAAGATCGACCTCCTGCCAAATCAGCATATCTAGCATACATACCCATCAAAAGCATACGGTAGCCATCCGAAGGGCTAACACAAACAGTCCGACATTAGAAATGCAGTCCATCAAGGATGGTAGCAGAAGTCACCAACAGATCAGCAGTTTCACACGCGATCAATTTTAATCACGTAATGGCACCACCAATATTGCGACAACAGGCATCTTCTTCATCTACTTCTTCTTCTTTCTCCTCCTCATTCTTTTTCTTCTTCTTCTTCTTAGCGTTCACTGGTTGTAAACCGGCGGAAAGTTCTGGTTGTTCGTCCACTTCTGGACTTTGGTCTTATTCCAGACCCAGGTGCACAGCCTAATTGGAGAAAGAAGCTTACCACCCCCTCCCCAACCATTAGGGAGTAAGTTGTCCAGTCCAAACACACCCTCCTCACAACCTAGGCAAAAATTAAGCGGGAATATAGTGGCGGGAGGGACACAGAGGGACCTCCAAAAAACGCGTCTCACCACCCTACAATTTTTTAAGGCAAATAATTGGGCGGGTGTCGCTTTCAGGTTCTTGAGTGCCCCATTCCCAAAGCCCACCCAAAAAAAAAAAAAAAAACATTAAAGGTGATGGGCTCAGCGACTCCCTCCCACACAATTATTATTATCATTATCATTATGCTGAATTGCAAGTAGGTCCAAATATAATAATATACTTGAAATAACAGAACATGTATAGGCTAAATAATTATTTTTTGAGCCGCCGCCCTCGTATGTAAAAAGTCGATTCAGGGACACCCCCGCCCACCTCAAGTTTCCTCTGTGATGACGCCCCTGTTTCATCGTAGTATTTCTCTTGCATGTCCTCACTTGTTCGAGACACTGAACGACTGTCAGTTCATCGGCAACGCGGTCGCCCATTGGCTGGGCAGTAGACGGCTTCGTCGTCGGTCGAGACAGTATTTGGGTCTGTCTATTTTGATCGCATCAACTCTGCAAGAGTTCTTTTCAGGGTTTCTTGGTGGCTAGAACATAAACCTAGTCACAATTATAACCAAAAGAAACATTAAATCGATCAGGAAACCACCAGCCCCAGCACAAGACGACTTTTTTATTATGGACAGACCAGAACAAGTCATTATCCTCCGCCTCAGAACAGGGCACAACCGATTACGCAACCACATGTACACAAAATTCAAGATAGGTGTATCAGCCATGTGCACCTGTGGAAATGTGCCCCAGACAGCAGAGCATGTACTCCAGGACTAAACCAAATTTGACACATTAAGGCTAACCTTTTGGCCAGAAAGAACAACAGTGGAACGTAAACTCTATGGACCACTGAATGAACTAAAAACGACAGTGAAATTTATACAAGAGACAAAACTGCTGATATAGACAACTTATTTCAGGCGAACGAAAGAAGAAGAAGAATAACCAAAAGCTTTTTTTTCTCTCTCAAAACTGGATCTGACTGTCAGTTTCTTTGAATTTATTTTCCATCGCAGAAAAAAAAAAATAACTTAATAAATGGATACACGGGTGAATGAATAAAGAATTGGCATCATTGCATTCCGGACATTCCCACACGGACTTTGTCCCTTTGCTCAACTGATAACGAGTTCACATACAGATAGTCCCAGCTGCAGCCTGATTGAAAGTCTGTGTGTCCTTTCCACTGAACACTAAATACCTGCTAGACTGTGTTTGCTTTCGACTAAATCAGTCAATCGCGGTATGAAGACCGATCGTTGTCCCGTGCACTTAGCTCAAAGAGCCTTCACAGCATCTACGTTATCGTAAAATAGCTGATCACCCAGAGGTGCGGCAGCAGATACTCTATCAGCCTGCTCAGTACCACGAAGACCAGAATTTCTAGGTAAGAAAATCCATATGCTCCAGATTCCGAGTCTTATATAGTGAAAACTAAGAGTGTGTATACTGTACCATGAATAAAATTATTGTCAAGTTTGATCAGCAACTTCCGCTTGCAAAATACAGTTGGTTACCCCCCCCCCCCCCTCTCCCTCCCCACCCCACCCCCTTGAAACATCTACCTGGGCGGAGGAAAGAAACCCGTCTGCCAGATTTGTAAAACTGATGTGCACGCAAAATGTACGTTCTGGAACAAGACTGAGGTCTAGAATGGACGACCAACCAGAAACTTCCGCAGGATTTTACTTTCGATAAACTCAAAGAAGCCACCTCGCTGAATTCGTCTTCACAGGCATGGAGACTGCTCTGTTGCCCTGTGCACGTGACCCAGAGAGCCTTCACAGCGTTCATGTTATCATAAAATAGCTGATCACTAAGAGGAGCGGCAGCGGACAATCAATCAGCCTGCTCAGTACCTCGTTAAAAGTGAGTTGCGTATCCTTTACAGGACGTTGCAGAATCAATCCCAGCATTTTTAGGCTGTTGTGGTTTTCCTAGGCAAATTCTAACTTTCAGTAGTTTGTCACTGCTATCTGAACGGTCAACTCTTGGTACCACTGTCGAAACTAACGTAGGACAAACTGTCCTTTGCTGGGATCGAACCCGGTACCTCGGCATTACGAAGCTCATTCGCAACGCCTAAGCGACAGACGCCGACTCTACTCCTACAGTAGAATTTCCTGGGCAGATATTCCGTGACATGCCCCTGATCTTTAGTCTTACAACTCAAAAAGAGAGTACATAACGTAAACAATATTAATGTCTAACGTGTATCGCTCGATCTGCAACTTCCACATGCAAAAATCAATAACGCCCGGTCAAGGTTAGGTACATCGCGCCACGGTGTGGACTTTGACCTGAACGTACCATAGGTTTGTCGTCAAAAGTTACTGGAGACCAGACGGTTACTTAACAACACGACATCTACCTCTAATTTCTAACAGTATCCAGCCAGACCGACAACAAAAACAACAACGATTATTAACACGGGGATGTTGTTAATAACAAACCGTCTTTACAATGACAGTTGGACGACATGAGTTTTCACCATTGTCTCACTTTTGCGTATGCTGACGGACAACTATTCGTCCATTTTATTATTCTGTCTTTCAACTGGAGTCGCGGAATACCCCATGCTTGCATAATTTTGAGCCTTCCCAAATGCGTCTGTAAAATGTGGGTCTAGAAGAAAACGCCTGGTGCGTTCAAATGGTTCTTTATTTAACCTTTTAGCAACAACAGGGGCAGAACTAGCAAATCCAAATGACACACATGGGTATTCAGTATATGAGATCTTTTAAGCAGTTTCCAATAACCGTAGAGTCGATTGATAATGTCAATAATTGGTGGATATAGAATGCACGGGTGCCTTTCAAGCGCACATAAACTACGGATACGTTTATTGATATATTGATCTTGGGCATGCAGGAGACATACATTCAGGTAAATATGTGTATCAAGTGACTCACACACACACATATGGAAATATAGATGAGTGAACAGAAAGGGGTGATTGGACAGAGAGAAGCAGAGAGATAGTCTGACAGACTGACACACACACACTTATATATATATATATATATATATATATATATATATATATATATATATATATATATATAGAGAGAGAGAGAGAGAGAGAGAGAGAGAGAGAGAGGGGAGAGAGATTAACAGTTTGACAGACTGACCTATTGCAGATAGGCAGAGAGAGAGAGGGGGGCAGAAACAGTATACAAGATAGACACAGAGACAGACAAAAACAGTAAAACAGACACAGAAGATGCACAAAACAGTATAACAGATATACAGACAGAGAGAGAGAGAGAGAGAGAGAGAAGCAGAAACAGTATAACAGACACAGCAGAGGCAGAAACAGTATAAAATAAACAGTATAAAAGACACAGAAGAGGCAGAAACAGTATAACAGATAGGCAGAGAGAGAGAGAGAGAGAGAGAGAGAGAGAGAGAGAGAGAGGCAGAAACAGTATAACATACACAGCAGAAGCAGAAACAGTATAAAAGATTGGCAGAGAGAGAAGGGGAGAGGCATAAACAGTTTAAAAGACACAGAAGAGACAGAAACAGAATAAAAGATAGACATAGAGAGAGGGAGAGGCAGAAACAGTATAAAGGATAGGCAGAGGGAGAGAGAGAGAGAGAGAGAGAGAGAGAGAGGCAGAAACAGTTTAAGAGAGGCATAGAGAGAGGGAGAGGCAGAAACAGTATAAGAGACACAGAAAAGGCAAAAAAAAGTATAACAGGTAGACACAGAAAAGACAGAAACAGTATAGAAGATGCAGAAACAGTATAACACAGAAGCAGAAACAGTATGAAAGATAGGCAGAGAGAGAGAGAGAGAGAGAGAGAGGGGGGGGGCAGAAACAGTATGACAGACACAGCAGAGGCAGAAACAGTATAAAAGAAACAGTATAAAAGACACAGAAGAGGC